GCTGAGTTAGTTCGAAATAGTTTTAGGAGAACTAAATTAGTATACTTGTATATTAGATTAGTTTTTAGCTTGTATTTTAGTATTCCTTAATAAAATGACAAGCAAGATTGCTCAAGGTAAAAAAAAAAAAAAAAAAAAAACTAAAGTTTATTTGATAATAATGTAATATTATATAAATAAATCTTAATAGGATCTATCTCTTAATTTGTAATATAAGAATCTACACACACTCTCTTCTGATCACATAAAGTTAGGCTTGAGAGTAAAAACTTTCTACAAAATACCTAATACTAAAGAAACTAAAACTTCTTTTTTTAACAGAACTCAGGCTCTAGCTCTAGTTCTAAAGAAACATAAACTTTAGTGTCTGAAAAATATAAGAAACAAAAAAATTATACTTTCTGAGAGCTCACAAGCTAGTAACAGAAATAAAGAAAATCTCTACTCTGCTACAAGTACTAGCAAAAAAGATATGAATAATAACAACTCTAAACAAAAAAAACTATTAGTCAACTTCTCTAACTAGAATGAACAATTAAGCCAAGAGCTTGAAAAAGAAAAAGCTAACGCTTCTCAAGAAGCAAAAAAAAACAAGAACAAGAAAAACAAAACAACAGATGAAAAAATATGTGATATTATGCAAAACAATGCTGACATGATCAAAACAACAGATGTACGTGTTATGTCAACAAATGAATCTCATCTTGAAATACTTGTAAACATCATGAGTTTTTAAAAAACCAAAAAAAATCCTGGTCTAGCCTATTTGCTAAGGTTAAAAGAGACTAATCTACTTTTACTTCTTATTCTCTGAGAAGTACTATTAGATCCAAAAATGATAATGCTTTAGTGCTAGATATTAGCAGTTTAAAAAACTGTTCTCTAAATGATATCATGATATCCTTTTATGATAATGTAGGAAACAATATAGTCGCAACAAAACTATATATTAGCAAAGGAATCTGTACTCACTTAGAAATTGTCTTTGCTAACAAAGAAAAACTTCAAAAGTATATAGTTAAAGAAGTAGATATCTTTAACAAAACATATTTTGGCTCTATTCCTACAGATAATAGAAGATACTTTCTCCTAGTTAAAATTAGAAATGTTCCTCTATTAGAAAAAAATCTAGTCTCTGAAGCTATTAAAGAGGTTTTCAAAGATGTGAAAAAAATTGCTTTAATTAAACCACTTCTAATCGAAGGAACTCCTTACTTAACAGACTAGTAAGTTATTATTTTGAATATCACAAATGACTCAAACTTGGAAAAAAGAATTCCTTATTTCTACATTCTGCTAGAAAACAAAATTACTACAGAATAGAAATCAGCTCCTAAGGTTTGTTTTTTTTGTAACAAAGAAAGCCATGTCAAAAGAGATTGCGAACAATACCAAGAAGCCTTAGCACTCTATCATTACTTTAAAGAGTATCAAAGAAATAAGAATAAGGAAAAAACTTCAGAACCTATCTCAAGCTCACTAGAGAAAAAACTATATCAGCTTCTTCTTCTTCAACTCAAGAAATGAGTACAGATTAACATCCTAAAAACTTGTCTACAGAAGAACAACAGGATATCTCTAGAACTAATGAGAGTAATAATACTCAAACTAGTATACTAAAAAGAATAGAGAAAACAACTCTAAATACTGAAAATACAAACATGGCAGATAATACTACCTCTAATAAAAAAATAGCTCAAGAAGTAACCTCTCCTATGGTTATTATCAAAAACAATATTTAGGAACTACAAGAACTTAATTGTTCAAAGGTCTGGCGATCTTAGTGTAGTGGTTAGGTTGCCAGACCGCCATACAAGAGG